CTTTACATGGCTCAGATCAATAACCAGAGATTTAATCGGTTGCTGTCAATTATGAGTTCGGCCACACTTCGTGGTTTTACAAAACTCTACCCTGGACCAAATCGCACGTCGTAGTAGATTGTGGTTCACTATTTGTAACGAGCCCCACCACCACCACCCCTGCTAACATTATCTAGTGATGTCGGAAACTGAGTGTTCTTTATCCAATACTTAAACAACCCTATAAATAATTCATATGGTCAATAACCTGCAATCTCCTCATGATCTAATTTCATCGACTATGTCTCATGGTTGTATAACAGAACAGCATGAATTGTTTCGTAAGACACTTGCCTTTTGGTATGTGGTTAGATATCTTGCCGGTAATATAATTGGCGTAAGTTGACAAACGCTAACCAGACCTTTGATATCTCGATTGAAAATTTGTTAGCAAACAATCTATTCGGGCTGATGTAACTTCGCAATTAAATGAAACCTTCAACAGATTCCACTACCTTATTCGAGTTGGGTGAAGACTAGTCTTGATGGTTTATCTTAGATTTGAAAGATTCAAATCCCGCTCGAAATATATTCATATTTCCAAGACCCTGGATTTTCTCCTCGTCTTCATCTAACAAGTTGTGTCATCTGAGAATCCGAAGTCAATCAGGTGCCCTCCGGGGACTATGTTTATCCATAATAAGAAGGGCTTAACTAGGGTTATATCCATTAGCTCACCTACAACAAAGTTGGACAGAAACGATGACACTAGGCATCCTTGAAGAGACAACTAGTTATCGTTACTTCAGATGACATTTCTCTATAGCCCCTTAAAGGGTTGTGTGACACTTTTCAATCAACAGAGTCAAATGCCTCTTTCAGGTCAATGAATATAACAATTTTCAGGCTTTTTTAAGGTTGGAAAACAAGAATGAAAGATTCAAGTCTAAGATGCGAGTCGGTAACGAAAGGAATAGGAATAAATTAGAGAGGAGTTTGTTAAACAAGAGTCAAACAGCTGAGGTTATGGTAGCAAACAGGACTACATAAAAACACTTCTGTACACAACGTTCACGAATCCTTTTATGGATGGATGACAAGAGCTTCAGGTATGTAAAGGAGATGTTATCAAAATCCCTTAGAGCGACTTGATCTCATTCCATATACTACATAGAGTGGAACTTTATGTAGGTACTGCATTACTCGACAAGACTTTATACTACAGAACAAAACAGTGGGTACATATGAATTCTCCATTTTGCTCATATTTCAGTCACAGGTAGAGTGGAGAACTCTGACGGATACTAATCGACGTAGACATGGCATCTGATGACTCATGACACACTCCAGCATAACCAAGAATGTTAGAATATAAAGCCCTAAGCAAAGTGATAAATTCCTACGGGAGCGTTTTCAGTAAGTAACACTGTTATAAAACCTCTCGATCAACAGGATTTTTGTTTTGAGGTTAGCAAGTACATGTAGTGTCGAAAGTTTGGATCAATCGGGCTTGGAATTGGACAATTAAGGAACCCAGAATCTCAGTAACTGTATCAGTGAAGGTAATTCTTCCACGATTCTATCTGGAGGTTTATTAATAGATTTTAGTTTAGAGTTCATGATGGACTTACATCAGTCGGGGGAACATTGGAAACCTGAGAGCACTGGACAGCTGTTTCGTCTTAGTATGAGACTCAGCATCGCGCACCGATGACCCAGCCAGGAATCTTCCATGATTGTTGAAAGGTCGCCCTCTATTCTTGATGACTTCAAAAATCAACGGTTAAACCAGTTAAACATAACCATAAACGACTCTCGTGCACCAGCTAAAACTACAGTTCAATCACTATCGTTAGGCGCATGTGGTAGTAGGCTGTTAAGATCCACTGAGCTTCATCATTTCAAGTAACTAACTTTTTTTTTTTCAATATGCCGTTTGCATAGGTACTAGATAGTGGACATGTGAAGAGCAGCCAGAAGTTATTTGAACTGTTCCATGAAGTGTCTTATGCTTTTATTACTTAACACTAATGTACTTCATCCCCTTAACTTTCACAAACCATTACTATTGATGGTCGTTGCATACACCTTCTTGCAAAAAGTTGGCTTTCATGTAGGTGACAGTTTTACAACAAGCCATCATTATCGCTTTTAATTAGCCAGTCGAATGCCCCCCTATAGCCAAAATGTGGAACATTTTCTCACTTGTTGGAACGGTAGCATTTCCACTTCTCATATGGACAGTGTTCATCACAGTCTAGAAACATGAAATTCGAAGCTGATGATAATTTCAAAGCCTGTGTGTACAGAATAACAAACTGAAATTATTGTGAATACTTTGTCGACAAATTATAGTAAGCGGGCTAAGTGAAATCAACATTTTAAGTCATCAGCTGCTAAAGCAGAATTTTGTTTTATGTCAGCGTGTGATCAGGAAAAATCTTATTGGACAATTTCGTCCTTCAGTTGACCAATCAGAATAAGTTATCCAACTTTTGACCTAGTGATATATTCACGAAAATGGTATACAAATGACGTATTTTTATCGAATAAAGTGTTTTTCTTTACCGTCTTGTGATATTTTTGTGGCTTAGAGAAGTATCAAGTACTAAGCGAGAACCGTAGCAATTTGTATCCAGTCGGATTTCGGTAGTATCGTTCGGATATTTCCTATTACTTCACTCAATCCCTTCAACAAGTATACTTCCTTATAAAATTTGTTTCAATTACACAATTAAATTGTTGAAATCAATACAGAATACAATAAACTTGTGTTTTAGTATTAAGTAGCCTTATTTAACTCAATTATTATGCATGAAACCATAGTTACAATGATGAATGAAAACCACCAACTGGGTAATTAGTAGTAAGAAAGAAACGAAATACATTTAGTATTCATAACTTAATTGACTAGAAATAATTGAAAAGTAAAAACTTTACTTTGTACTATGAGAAGTTTTTGTAAGTAATTAGAACAACTTTTTGACCGATTAGCTGGTTTCCATTTATTGATTTATGAATTACAGTAGATATAACATTATGGTAGCGAAATATGTATCAAAAAAAGAACCAATACACAGATTCAGTGGTCATATTCATGAGAAAAACATGATGGCCCGTTGAATATCGTATGATATTACTAGATGCTCATATTGCCAGTATTTCTTTAGCATTAGGTAACTATCAAAGTCTAAAGGGATAAGAATCACAATTATATGATGATGACGATCAATACTCTATTATTGGACGAGCCATCAAGTAGTTATTTTCAAGAGAAGTGTTCACAGTAGACTTGACCGTTTAAAAATCCAACGCAAACGTCCTGCAGTAACATAGTCATTAAAGTTAGAGGATATAGAAGGGATTCAGATGTTCTACTACCGCTATGTTGTTTGTTGTGGTGTCATCACGTCAGTAATGAAGAAGTGGGGCATAGAGATTTAGGGAAGAAAGGAAAATTGTTTGATGAGGTTATGGACGTTCATCGACTCAGATGGCTGAGACATGTGTTACGTACACCTAGTCACCGACTGTTACGTGGCAGAATGTTAGCCAAAGTAGGTTCAGGCTAGAAAAAGGTGATCAAAATAAAACATGGAATCAGTACATGAATCCTTTGGCTGTTGACTTGAGACATGTAGGCAGGTGCGGACTAGCCTACTGAGGTCCACATGATAACAGAAACCAGTGACCGGATACTCTGGGTGATACGGCTCAAAATCGATTTTAATGCACAGATGTACCCACACTACCTGAACTGCTATACAGGATTCAGCATTATCTCATTCCTCCTTCCTATTTTTTTACTGCTGTTGACCGATTTTTTCTTATTTCATTTTTCGACCTATTTGTTGCTCTAATACTTTATGCGCTGGCAGGTGTGGCAACTTGGACCGCTAAGCGGTAATTTATGGTCCTATGTTGATAGTGATGATGACAGTACGAGATCATTTGGTGAGTGTTAACTCCAAGTAGGTGAAGTTCTGGTTCGCTGTTCTTATCCCTTTAACATCTTGAGAGCCCTATATAATACCACCTCACAAAGAGTGAGGGTATACAAGTACCTGTCTCTTCATTGTTCCAAACCACCACTAGGGTTATGCAGGGTTGCCCAATCTCTCCTTTCTTTTTTAGTTTTGACATCAATGACATTCTTGAGAAAGCTCTGAGGGAAGTACATTATAGTAGTGTAGATTTACAACCGGGAGAACAGCTATTCAAGGTTGAATATGAGGACGATATCGTCTTACAATCTGATAACACACAAGTCATTCAAATAGCACTTAGTCAGTTGGTGATTAGTGTCTGTTACTTACACCATCGAAGATTGTCATTCAATAAGTGAAGTCATCTTGAAACACCGACTTTGATGACTTGGATATGTGTTGTACATGTTGTCCCAACGGGTTCCATATTGTTCATTGTTTGCTAACCTTGGGAGTGAATGGGAAGGAGCGGAGGGTTGGTCAGTGTATGATGTGGAACCGTTGGGTGAAGGATAGTTGTATCAGGTTAGTATCTGTTGGTTCATCACGACTGTCTGGGTGGAGTTCGAGAGATCAAGTAACTCAGTGACTTGAGACGTTATCGGATATGGCTGAGGATCGAAATCAGTTGTGGTCATTCTGTATCTTTCTTTTATCTTCCACTGCTGAAAAGTAATGAATGTTTTGTTTTGAATGTATCTTACTGGACTGTTCCACTAATCATGTTATTCTTATTGTGTTTCTCTTTTTTACTTATCCACTTCCCTTCGCTTTATACCACCATAATGTTGTTACATTATTTTGTGTGACACATTTTTCGGTGCCATGTACCATGTTTGCGCTTTAACAATTATTATTATTATTTAGAAGGAATACACATATTTGCACGACTCAGAGCATGAAACGAAAAAAAAAACAACTGTGAAAGGAAGTAAAACTTGACTGCGATATTCCATTGGAATTTCAACTAGAAAGAAGTTGAAAGTTAGAGTGTGTCCAATAGAAAGAATTACACAACACATGAATAACACAAACCACAGTCAAAATCTTCTCACCAATCTTAAGTACATTCATACAGTACACAATGAACCACATCTATTGTATGACAGTGACCCATCGACTAGAAATCAAGTATCCAACATAAATCATCATCGATCTTCAAGTTAGTTAGTTAATCATCATCTACAACTATCAGTTTTACACAGACTATATTTTCTTCTATTGAAACATTGATCAGTTGATAGTTTTTCTTTCATCTATCGAAAAATATTTATATTCTATTGGAAAAGAGAAGTTTATATCATCATTATTTTCTTTTTTTTATTATGCAAAGAAACACTAAATAATCAAAGATTTACATAGAAGAAATAATCATAGCACATAAATGTATCCTTCTGTTAGAAGAGATAGAATTATAAAAAAGAAATGAGATAATAAGACTGATTGTTTATATTGTAACTTTTTCCAAGAAAATCTTTTTAGTAAAAACCTATAGACAAGAGTAAAGAAATATTTTCAATGGTTGTTTTTGTTAATTTATTTAAAGTGATCAATGATTTGTTGTATAATGTCTGATTTCTTAATACTACTCCCAGTATTATTATTATTAGATAATTTTAAACCGAATGATTTGATTGTTTCACGTAGAACAGGTAATGTATACTTATTTAGATGACCAAGTTTTATAGCTGTTCTACACTCATCTTCTGATAGAAAAAGCTTTACAACTTGACTATTATTGTTATCATCAGCTGTAGTAGACTGTAAAGAACGAGATTTCTGACCAATATAATAATAAATAAAAAAGGAGAATATTAACAGCAATATATATATATTAGTTTATAATGAAACAAAACTATAAGCGATAAAAGACTAACGTGTGATATTCGTTATTGAAGTTAAAATCAATAAATAAGTCCCTATAAGCCTTCAAATTGAATTATTGCTTAATGTTCATTGGTGACTTACTTTGGAGAGGTGATTTTTGATGTTCTAAAAGGAGTTGTGACCGATGGGGATCAACCAAGTTGAATGTATAAGAATAGTTAGTCAATAACAGCAATGGATGGAGATCACACTGTATCAGAGGTAGGAGCATTTGGTGCTAATTCAGTAATTCAATGATAATGTGCTCACTAGGAACCTTTAAGGTCCCTGGTTCGATGGGTGCCCACTGTTGACTTCTCAGGTATATTAGTATTATTATCATTATTATCATTTGTCCTTTGCGTTTCTAATGGAACATAGGGCTTCAGTAGCACGTCTCTATTCCACTCTCTTCTCTGTAATCTTTTCAACCTGGCTCCACGACAGCCTAGAAGCTCTCATTTCTTCTTCATACGATCTCAGGTATATAGTCATTGATATTTCAGTAGTCAATGTTTGAAGCATGAAAATGATATCAGTTAAATATACATCTGACTGTGTTTTGTTTGGGTTTTTTACCTTCATATTCTTACAGTCATCAAGGAGTCATGTTTATTTTGTAAGGGTTAATGATACTACTTAACTGCTTAATTGTCAGTAGATGAAGTTTGGTTCAAATCCATGATCATCTAAACGAATGAACCACACCTATAAGTTATCAGATATAGTAACATCGCTAGAGATTAAACGTTACAATGACATCTGTGTTAGTTATATTATAGACGAATAAAAGGAGTGAAGATTTATTCGTAATAATTATCAGTAGAAAAGTTACTGAAGCTTAAAGAATATTGAATAGTTGTACCCTGTTGGTTCAAGACTTTACAGAAATGAACACTCATGATACGTTCAAATTTACACTGGATTAATAATCGATGTAAGGTAAACAATTTCATTAATCAAAGAACTTATGAACTGATACTGATTGATTATTGAAGGTGAAATGGATAAAATCTAGGTCTTCGTAGGATTCGAACCAATATATCTTCAAGTTAATGAAATGATGCTCTAACAAATTTCACTTTAATTATTAAGACTTCTGCCATGTGGATACATGATACGTTACACTATCACTTGATCATACTCACACCAGCTGCCCAGTTACGACTTTCATCCCAATCAAGAGGGTAGAGTATCATATTCATTACTAGTCTGATTATATGAGATAGCAATGATTCGACAGACTCTTATTATTCATACTGCCTGACTTTTGAAGGTGAGATAATAAAAAAAAAATCTATGTCGTAGCAGGATTTAAACTACAGGTCTTCACAGGTCATCGATCTGGTACACTAACAACAGAACTGTGACATCTAGAAGCTGGTGACCAAGTCTTGATTTCACTTCAATCACTAAAAATCACCCCCCCCCCCCCAACCTTATGAATTGTTATTTAAACAAATTATAACAAAAGAAGTCTTCAGAAGTAAAGATTTTGTAACTATAATTGATTTTTAAATAAGTAAGACATCCAATCTTACTGTATGTTCTAAGTGAATGATTTTATAAATGGATTGATCAGAAATAATGATTCATACATTTACGTTAATTTGCTAATCTTTTGAAGTTGGTCACTATGTAGGAGTAGTTAAAACATGGGATCAAAAGTGAATAAGTAGCATTATTGCAAGAAGTTGACATACTGCTAGTATGCAAGTAAGTTGGTCCCCTACCCCACCCCACGCTCCTCCAAACACACACACATACACACACAGTCTATGGACAATTGACCATTTAACCACCATAATACTTGACATAGATCGATCATCAAATCATTCAGCACACATGTTTATGACCATTTATTATACGGACATGGTATACAAGAGGTGGAGAGTTGTAGCTGATTGGTTTAGGCAATTGACTAATAGGTTAAGGGGTTCGAATCCAACCCGACCTATTGACAACTGAGCAATCCATACACATCATCATCATTATTATCAACATAGGACCAGGCATTACTGCCTCACGGTCCCACTTGCCATACCTCATATCAGCACATCAAGTAAAAAGGTAGTGAGGTGAAGGATGAAGATAAGTGAATGCAGTCAAAAGAAATATAAAGTACGAGAAAAAAGGAAAGAGGAGTGACAAAATAGTGAGATTCGGTATTGCGTTGTTAAGATGAGGATAATGTGTGTATACATCTGCGCCATTGACTTCGGTTCTCAGCCATATCACCTAGGGTCTCCAACCACTGGTTCCTCTTGTCCCGCCAACCCCAACCACCTAGTCTGCATCGCCCATCTACATGGCTTAAACCAACAGTCAGAGACTTCATACATTGGTACCATGTTTTAGTCTGGCCACCTCGGGCCTTTCTCCAGCCTGGACCCACCTCAGCCAACATTGTGTGACGAGGCAATCGGTGACTAGGCATACGTAGTAGGTGTCCCAACCATCTCAGTCGATGAAGGTTCACAACCTCGTCAACTGACTTACCTCTTCTCCCCAAAACTCTACACCTAACTTCTGCATTACTCACATGGTGACACCACGGAATACGTCCTATACTACGAAGGCAGGCAACGGTGGTCAAACACCTCAAGCCTTTTTGTATCCTCCACTTTCAATGGCCATGTTTCACAGCCATACAGTAGAACAGAGCGGACTGCTGTGCAGTACACGCGACCCTTAGTAGACAAACGGATATCACGGCGGCGCCATAGGTGGCGTAACTTGGCAAAAGCCAATCGAGCCTTTTGTATCCGTGCATAGATTTCATCGGCAACTAACCCACCACGGCAGGGTTGATCCTACTTCCCAGGTAAGTGAAGTGGTCAACACACTCAACCACTTCACTCTCTCTCTCAATCCATACACAATAGATTTGATTCAATGCCTACTCCATGAATATGATGATTTAAAAAAGGTATTTACCATTTAATATCACCTAAGTATTTACCTAACAGTTTGCGTGTTTGTTCATTATTCAAAAGTAAACCCTTTTTAATCACAATTTTATATATATTTTTACCTTTACTGGGTTGATATTATCCAAATTGAAACAACGTTTAAAAGCTTCAATTCTTCACCAGCTCTTCTTTTTATAACTTCAATTTTCGGTACTTAATATATTAAGTTGGCATAGAAAAAAATAATGATAAAAAAAATTATTCATTTAGATTAATTGAAGAGAACAACATAAAAGTGAATGACGAATTCAATTCTAGTCTAACTCACTGATACCCATAATTTCCCATTGCTATTACTGGATCAACTCTTATTGGTAGATGGATATCTATGCAGATATCTTGATACTGTTTAAATATTCATTAATTTATAGTTTATTTGATGGTGATTTGTAATAGAATCCAAGAGGAAGAGATTTTATCCAGTTGACAACTCGTCAATCGGATGTACGTATCATGTTCCCATTGACACCACTTCCTGTGTGTTGTTATACTGGATGGAATAGTTCTATCTCTATTCTATTAATCCTACTCTCAATAAATCACCATGATAATAATAAACTTCAATGTATGAATTTGAAAAGAAAAAAAAATGAACTTGAAGTGTGGATGAGTATGCTACAATGTCTATAATCATCTCGATTCAGTTCTATGGAGATTCTTATTATATTTTAACAGACAGTTTGATGAACAAACAATATGCCTTTCAAAAATCCTCTTCCTTAGGTTCTACAGTTATACATCGATATTATTCAATTAGAGAATAAATATATGTTAATAACACAGTGAGTATTTATACTACAAGGTCACAATAATCTATAATATGTAAGTGAAAAAATGATACTGACTGATCAAAATGAATTTTATATGCCTAGAGAGTTATTCATTCCACAGTTGATCAAGAAGTAGTAGTAGTAAACACTGAAACTGTTTGTTTTGTACACTTAATTTAGGTTATTCAAGCTGAATAGTCAAAGTTTATGATGTGTTCGAAGTATTCTCAATCTTTCAGCCTATGGATAAATTAACTGGGACACGTAAAATAATAGAAAATGATTGATTTATACTTATTGTTTGAACTAAGTGAGCTAATACCAACATAGGAGTAAAACTTGGACATTGCCATAGACTGTAAATCCATTTTAGTATATATCATACAGTGAAGGAATAGTATCATCTACTGGATAATGTTTCGGATATAACTCCATAAGTTTAAGACAAAGTTTGTATAGAACTAATTTCCTCTCCATCTTTGTAGTAGAATTTTCTATATATATCTGAGACAGGTGCATAATCATTCGTGTTACTGCATGTATTTGGTGTTGATTCGATAAACAATGAGGATTCGGTTATCAATCTCTCCCTTCATCCGACTAAGTTAGTTTTTAATACTGTCACCCTATCTTACCCCATTGTGTGAAGTTGCATGCATAGATATAGTCAAGTTTTTCTCTAAATTTCTTCTTATTCGGATCTATTAATTTTGACTTAGCTAAGTTTTCGTGCTCGGATAGCCTAATTGACCCTGGGATCGACAACTTTCACCTATGTAGTTAACCTCGCAACCATTGGAAGGGATTTAGTAAACCAGATTATTTTGCCTAGTTGCATCAGTAGAATCTTTTAACCTACAAAGCTTATTTCTAAGTGAGTTTGTTGGTTTAAATGCCACTTTAATCCCAGTCTTATTGAGAATTCTTCGTAATGCTCTTGGGGTGCCTTCCTTGTATGATAACACAGTAGAGGCTTTGAATTCTCTCTCAACCCTGTCACCATTATAACCAATAGTAGTAAAATTACTATTCATAACACCTGTATTACCACTACTACTACCACTGCTAATATTTTTCTTTCGATTTCTTATGAATTTATTCATAAATTTAGGTGGGTAACTATTGAGAGGCAAGGTACTCTTGATGTGTTTAATTTCTTGTCGCAGATTTTCTGGCCTACTAGTAAGCTTTCCCGACCTATCACCTGAGCATTTAATTAACCCTACTTTAACTGAGATGAGGTGAGATAAATTGGATTGCATTCACTACTGAATTTATATGTGTCAAAAACCTATTGATGCATTCTGATTTCAGTACTGTAAACGTATCATCTACATATCAACCTATTTACATTGTTCACTACTCCTTTACCTAGTCACGCTCTGAAAGAACGAAAAGAAACGTGCTCAGCCACCTTGTGCACCATTCACGTAGTAGACTATGAGTTACACCTATATATTGTGAGGGTTGATGATACTATCATCTGGTTGTCCAAACCTCGGTAAGGTGGAGTGGGGCTTGAACCTGTGACCCAATGATTGGTATTCACCTCCCTAAAACACTCAGCTATATTTGTATACGCTCGGGAGGTGATCACAAACATGAAACATTAAATTCTTGGAAAATCAGCCAACTTTACACACTATAGAAATCAAATTGAAACATCAAGATTCTGAGTGGAGTTTACAGTCAAATCATTATAACTACTTCATGCCTACTTCTTTGTAAAACTATTTTCATCGTTGGTTTATTTGATTTCATGCTGGATATTATCAGACTTTGAGTAATACTAAATTTAAAGACTTGTAACACATTTGGTCGAGAAGAGTCAATATAAAACAAAATTGAGGAGAAAAAGTCAAATCTTATCTATTTCGCTCAATCTACAGCAATAAAAGGACTGAAATTAGATTTATGCATCTAAAAAGGAACCGGCTGTTAACTTATCACTACTCTACTAACTCAAGGATAAATCTTAATCATATTCAATTACATCATCTCTTATTTCCTTGATTTTAGGTAGTAAATTTTTAGTGTTATTGCTTCTATTATACGGTTGTTGGTTGGACCGAATCAATCGGTCTCTATTAGCATATTGGATCCTGTGCGGATGCCTCGAGATATTGCCTATATTTTTAACTATATAGTAATGATGGATAATGGCTAGTAGTGGAACCCAGGACGCACATTTTGTCCTATTTGGGAAGCGTCAGCTGGATGTACCTGCTTCCCAGTGAATGATATTATTCCCATTGGGATTCAAATTCAAGACCGTTCGCTTCAAATGTCAGAGCGTTATCCACTAGACCATCCAGCCACGATAACTGCTCCTTGTGTGACGGGTATAAGTTTTAGTGTTACTGTCTATATTATATCATCGTTGATTGGACCGAATTGATCGGCCTCTATTGACATATCCATCAATACTATGTAATTAAAAACAGGCAGTATCGAAGCATCCGCACAGGAGCCCATATGCCCATAGAGACCGATCAATTCGGTCCAATCAACGATTATATAATATAAGCAATAACACTACAATTATACTCGTCGCACAAGAAGTGGCTATCGTGACTCAAAAGTCTAGTGGATAACGCTCTGACATTTGAAGTGATCGGTCATGAGTTCGAATCGCAATGGGAATAATATCACTCGTTGGGAGGTAGGTATATCCCGCTGATGCGTCCCAAGTATGACGAAATGTACATCTTGGATTTCACTGCTAGCCACTATCCATCATTACTATATGAGTAAAATTTTGATTTATTCAACTGAGGTCAACTCATCATTTTTGTATTTGTTTCTGAATTATTTATTATTCTCAGCATGCTTTGAGGTTAAATACAGTACTCTATAACACTCACTAGTGATATGCTTTCAGATGGATATCACGAAGTTCCAGTGAAAAGTCAGGACCTATGAGGTTAACCAGTCGGGTAGGAAGCGGGACGCCGACTGGATATCTTAATGGATAGTCGCGCTATATCGCGAATTGGTAGAAGTAGGAAACTGCGTACCACTGAATTTCAATCCAGTGGTTGAATAGTTAATATGTTCGCCATAAAACCTGAGAGTTTCAAGTCCAACCCCCCTTGGAAGGTTTATGGGTGCATACTGATGAGAAGTTGTACACCAGAGTGAAACAGTTATCCAGTTCATCCAAGTTTTTAATGGTTCGCCAACTGATTTCAATCTGTCATGAATACTACCTTATTATTATTATTATTATTATTATTATTATTATTATTATTAACTCATGTATCCAATTTGTACAATTGTCAATCATAATGACTGAAAATGTTAGACAGTTCACCGATTGAATCTATCAAGGATAACTTCAACAATCTACTGTAATCTCATATTAAAGATTGTATAGATTGTAAGAGCAGTAGTTGATGATATAACGTGAAGAAATGAAATGATATCACGTTATTCTGTTGAAATTGTTATTCTTCACTTCCATCATGAAGAAGAATATATGCATAAAAAAAAGGATTTATTAGAATTCTGTTCCATTAACTGAGAAGTGTAAAGTGTTAATCTCGTATCGAATCATTTTATTCATTTCATGTATAACTTAATTGATAAACACCATTGTCTATATATATAATACAATTCAAGAGTTTTTGATTGACACCTCATTCATTTATGTATGATTTAATATTACGGGAATATTTGAGCATAGGATGAGCAGAATCGTATTACTCAATGTATAGATGGATCAGATTTATAAGACTGACTGGAGAAGCTACATTGGAGTTTAATCATATTAGGAATTAAATCAATAGAATCATATGCTGATGATAATTACAACCAAGAAAAAGTTATAACAAGTATATAAACATTTCATGTTTGTTGATTTCCTAAACTTTTCCCTTCATTCAGTTAAAATTTTACTACCTCATCTTTCCATAATATGTCTTAACCTAGAAATTTATTTTGTTAACCTTATGACACGATTCGAAATGAAGCAGTAAGTATTCAATAACCGGTTGAATACTCCAATGATAGAGATATGAGATCTAAGCTTTGAATCATTAACCACATACATATAAACATCAATACTTCTGAATATGAGATCTATATAGATCTATATATAGTATTCGGCTGAAGAGTCGTCTTACTAAGGACTATTAAATCATAAGTTCCTACTGGTCAAATATTATCCATAGGAAATGTATAACTTCACTTCAGATAAGCTAGTTGTTATTGTCATCACCATTAATCAGCTATATAAGATATTTTGAAAAGCTACACCGCTCCATCTGTCCTGATTGCTCACTCGATCAGCCATATATATATATAGCTTGCATGAGTCTTATCAATGATAGACGATAGCACTGAAATTTTTTTGGAAAAGAATGACATAAATTTAATTCAGTTTGAAGTTATGGGGGATTTCGTTTTTAAGTATTCATCATGAACTGATATCAATTGCATGAACATTGAAAACTTTGGAGTATTAGACAGTTGTTTCATCCCTTTTACCAGGGATCGAACCCAGGACATTCAGGTTTCATGGCGAACATGTTAAACATCTAGTTACTAGGTTAGAATTTAATAGTGAATAGTTTCCTACTTCTAACAATCCGTGATATAACGCGGCTATCCATCAAGGTGTTCAGTTGGCATCAACTAAACTTTTGGCTGACTGAACTTTGAGCGATCCATCTCGAAGCATACCATTAATCAGTAATGTATTTTGAAGTTAATGGTTGTGACATTTGGAGTCAACCAGTTGAAAGAGGATGTCATTTGAACACTTTGGTGAATGACCGCGCTATATCGTGAATTGACAGAAGTGGGAAACTGTGAACTATTGAACTCCAAACCAGTAGCTGAATGGTTAACGCGTTCGCTATGAAACCTAAAAGTCCTGAGTTCATTTTCTGGTGAACAGTCACAACCCGGGATGATGATTAGGGTGAACATGATGTATAGATGCATTTCATGTGGAGCTGCACGACGGAGTAGATGGTGATTATGCATGTGTAAAACATTTTCCAATTACCTAGTTTGATGAAGGTTCACGAATTCATCAACTGATTTTCTCCGCATACCTGAACTCCACAGGACTGATGTAGTAGGAGCATGACATGGCTTATGCAACGAAGACAACAAGAGTTGAAAATCTGAAGCCTTAGACATACTTAGCAATAAAATCTAAGCATAGTAACATGTTTAGATGGCATTTACATTACTAAACTGACATAACATTGCATTCTACTTGGTGGTTAGCAGTGGAATTCAAAATGAGCGTTTCATTCTATTTAGGACTCGTCAGCTGGACATACTTGGACCCCAGTGAGTGATGTTGTTCTCACTGAGACTCAAACCTCGTACTCACCGCTTTAAACGCCAAAGCGTTATCCACTAGGCTACACAGTTTAATTATCTGATGAAATCATAAAGAATATAACCAACAAATCAATGAGTTGAACTTGCCTTGCCTTAACCTAACCAACAACCTCCACATCTGTACTTCATAAGGACGTACTGACAATAGCAATGAAAATCAAGAACGATATGTAGCTTTTTATGCATCAGCTACCAAAAAAAAAACCACGTAAACTAAAATGGATTATAGTTGTAGGATAGTTATTCACTCATACAACATTACTAATAGTAATAATAACTTACATGTATGATCAACAACTTCACATTGAGATTCCCGATTAAGTGCTAATGCCTCAAGAAGGGCATAATAGCGTTGTAATAGTGGATTTTCAATTTGTCCAGGTGTGAATGGAACCATAAGCTTACGAATCATTGCTTTAGCAATATCTACTTGAGATTCATTGGCTAAAAATTAATCAGAGGAAAAAAATTAATGGGTAAGAGATTACTTGTAAGTAGTCTGGGAATCATTACAAAACCTCTAAGCATTGAATAACTATTTCATCCTAATATGGGAATCGTCGTCACCAGTGGTGTACCGATAAATAACCTAATAAGTGATGGAGCCACAGACTGTCAATGTATTATCATTCAACTATTGGGTTAGAATTCAATAATCCACTAAATCCTACTTATGTCAGTTGATGACAGTGTAATGATGAACGAATGCTATTAGTGTACATTTGACTTCACTTATCCTACAGATCATGAAAAAACCATGTACAGAAGTGAATTGCTAACGACTACTAGAAAACCATTCAATTTGGAGGTTTGTGGAAATTGATTAATTTTAAGATGGTATTATTCCTCATTAACCATTATCAGTTGGAGAACCGTAGGTAGTTATTTTCTGTTGGCTTTCCTGGCACTTGAACTCTAACCTTTGAGATATATTATCTAAATCTTAGCTTCCAGACTAGTAATTCTTTAACTCTAACGTCTTTATAGTCTATTTTCTGATATCAAAATCAATTTCTCATTGAAATTCTGTATTATTTAACATCTAGTCGAAAGAATACAATATATTTCTGATACCAAAAAAAAACCCATGTAGAATTCTTTTGCATTTCAGGCAGGCGAAGCAAGTATAATTTTACCGAAGAGTGTCGACTATTATCTGCTGTGATTGTCTGTGATGATGATACATTCTCTGATCTGGATGGTTTAAATGATAAAACTTTTATGCATTTTGAGGTGAGTGGGGATTTTATGCTTAACGTAAGATTTATCATGGACTGAATAACATGAGTTCGAGAACCATTGAAAACCTAGGAGCACCGGATAGCTGCTTCGATTGCTCCTAAGCATTAGTCTGACCATAATCAATTTTTCGGTAATCTAATCCCACATTAGATGACAATGTGCATCTCACTCACTCACTCACTCACTCACTCACTCACTCACTCACTCACTCACTCACTCACTCACTCACTCACTCACTCACTCACTCACTCACTCACTCACTCACTCACTCACTCACTCACTCACTCACTCACTCACTCACTCACTCACTCACTCACTCACTCACTCACTCACTCACTCACTCACTCACTCACTCACTCACTCACTCACTCACTCACTCACTCACTCACTCACTCACTCACTCACTCACTCACTCACTCACCCACTCACTCACTCACTCACCCACTCACTCACTCACTCACTCACCATACACTAATACCAGCGAGGGTTATAGTTTCGTAATCCGCCTACTTAAAATATTTATCCATTTAACCCATGTATGTATTTTTTTTTCACAAACAGTTTAAAACTATTCATCAAGAGAAGTTAACAAACTAACTGTTCTAAAATGTTCAAATTATGCAGATGAATCATAAAAACAGCATCTTCATAGCATAACTACTTTACTAATATCGATGTATTATGATCACGTTGAAAACTACAAGTAGTCAAAGAATGATCAATCCACCAGTTATCTATCAAACTTGTGGAAAGGTTACTATAAATACAGTCAAATTTTTTATTGATGGTTTCATGTGTAAAACAGTGATAAATCAGTTGCAATAGTAAAATTTATAAATTCTATTGTAAAAATATTAAGACATCACAGAGTTGCATACTTAGCTTTACTTTAAATACATCTCACTCTGATCTAGCTGGTGAAATCTATAGATCAGCATGGCTGGTTCGCAGTTACTCAAGGTGTTCGATAGTATATTTCATCAGTGGGTAACACTTTTGTGTCGTACATCATATACTGTGATCTTGGCTAACATGTTGATTTCCAATAGAAACTCTGATAACTATCATCGCACTTGAAATGGAAGTAACCGTGTACACATTTGTGCGATAGACAATGAGCTACACCTATCGTGTTAGGGCTTATGATACTGGCTGCCCAAATCTCGGTAGGTAAAGCGGTGTTCGAATCCATGACTCACTGGTTGAAAGTCAACTCTCTAAACCAATGAACTACAATATGGACGGAGAAATTTATAAACCACTTGCAAATTGATCATCCTATTTAAGGCATACAGGTTCTTGTAAGTCAGGTGGCCAGATTCAAATGATCTGAACAACCTTGCTCTGTGAGTTGATGAGCTTCACCCCAAATAAGCAGTGATTAGATGACCCTGATCCGGCTGGTTGATGAAGTCTACAGATCAACCTGAGTGGTTGCTAACTACTCAAATTGCTTCTTAATTCTAACGTCTTTATCATCATTTCTTTCATTATTGTCGTCAATTCTGTTTTTTCTTCTTGAATTTATTATGCTTAGTTATGTGTCAATTATATGTCATGGATAGATAGATCATTTTACCAAGTTTTGTCATGCGTATGCCTGTCTATTCGCCATTAAACTGCCCTGTTATAACAGAAAATGGATATAATTCACTTCTTCTCTAGAAATGCTTTTATACGACTATTCGTTGACAAGTACATTACTTACAATCTTCATATAGTGCAGGTGTTTCTACAAAAGTAGGAGGAGAAAAGACAGTACCTCATAGAGTCTACTACACAAAGGTGTTAGAAAAACCTATACAAAACCAAGCTTTTACACCGATTCCATAATCTGGAATGTGTGCAAACCTATTTGGGTTAAAAGAAATCATGAGAATACATCTCCTACAGTTTCGTTTTTTTTGCCTTTTGGATCAAACTTCAAGTCCAGAGCTCAGTGACTGACTCAATGAGACAACCACCTGTATCGAAATGATCACCTGGAGGCAGTAATCTTACTGGTCACACAAAATACACAAACTAACAGGTGTTGTAGTAAAAACTTCATAGTGTTCATGATATTTTCTAACGAGCAGATAAACTGACTGCATCAGCGACCTTTTTTATTCAACTATTCAGATCATAATCATCTTATCGTTATCTTTGCGTATATACCTTAATGTTTTGTTATCATTTTCAATCTCAATTTTATGTGTATCGTTATTTGATCCACATGTTCGTCCTTGATTGAAATTCTGATCTATCAATATCATCATCATCAAGATCAACATAGGACCAGGGCATTACTCCATAGCGGTTCAACTTGCCACACATCATATCAGCATATCAAGTAACAAGGCAATAAAATAGAAGATAAAGAAAGAAGGAAAAATAGGTCAAAAGAAGTAGACAGTAGTAAAAGAGAGGAAGGAGCAGTGAGAAAATGATAAGACTAAGCATAGCGGTTAATGTGAAGATAATGTGTGCATGTATCTGCGCCATTGACATCCGTTCTGAGCCATACCACCTATTCCCCCAACCACTGGTTTCTTTTTCCTTGCGGACGCCAACCGCATAGTCTGCATCGCCCTACATGAATCAAACGAACAGTCAAGGACTGCATGCATTGATGCCATATTTTAGTCTGGCTACCATTCAGCCTGAATCCACTTCGGTCAACATTGTGCTATGAGGTAGACAGTGGTTAGGTATACGTAACACATGTCCCAACCATCTCAATCGAAAAAGGTTCACAATAGCTATCTATATCGGTCTAAATTGGTTTCATACAGTTATCCTTCAATAACACATCTAGTAGTACTACCACGAAATCGCACGTGCCGCTAAAACGATTTTACCTTCGACATTCAAACCGTGAAGACATTTCCCTAGAACTCTGAAAAGCTTCGTAGGTTTCATAAAAGTCTCCTTGAATGACATCTCTATCAGCTTAGAAAGTATAACCCATATGTCCTTAACCGAGGACTATATAGCACTGATGCCCGAACTTACTATCACCGAGGTTCAGCTAGAACTGAGGCAACACTAATTGATTGTATTTCAATCAAGAGTGCTATTCGACTAACAAGATCAGTTAGAATAAGACAGTGTTCTGTCACTTCAGAATGAGATTACCACTATACTCTCCACAAAATGCTGGAACATCGTCATACTTCCGTGGGCACTATACAAAAAGGCTTCAGGTAAAGCAAGGGTACACAACCAACCACACCTCTTCATTATTCCAAACTACTTACATACTTTAAAAAAGTTATCTGATTTTTCCCTTCTTCATTAACTTTGCGATTGACTATATCCTTGGAATAGCTGTTTAAGAAGGTTCAGGTTAGTGGTGTAAATCCACAACCACTAGAAGGAATTATCCACCTTGAGTATAAGGATGATATCATCATCTTACTGTGCGACAATAAACAGATTACTCACATCGCATTCAATGAGTTGGTAGTAGGTGTCCGTAAAGACAGTCCGTGATGAGCATCATCTAAGTGTGGAGAACTTTTAGGAAACAAGGAACAACCACTTATGTTCATTTTCATCCTTAGAACTGAGCGAAACAAGAGTATACAATCGAAAACATATAGATAACATCAAATGCATATCCCGAATATCACTGTAAGCTATTTCCGAATGAAAATATGGCAGAAGCCACAATCAGGGTATGAGTCGGAAAGAATAAAATACTAACATCGACTAATGAGTCCGCTCCTGAAGATACAACTTCAGAGATAGACTTGAATAGTGACAGAAGAAGGTTATTACTTTTTGAGGTGACTGCAAGTAATCTTACCTATCTGACAGCAAGACCTGAAGAGACCTCTGCTTGACGTACACTAAATATGATCTTTCATGGTAGGTTTGGATTAGGGATTGTGTTGCTTCGTGGGGTCAGTCTTTTATGGACCTTCCTCATGAAAGCAAAAGGAGAAGTCCCATGGAAAGCTGATCATCAACAGGGAAACATCTTACTACTGTCCTACTCTTTACACCCAATAGTACGGTATCACCCATAGACCTCTATAGCATAAGGATAATTGCCTTTATTTCTGCCACTACACAATAGACCTCTGTAATACGCTAGAATCCAAACAATTGTAGCGTCCAGTGTAGTATGTTAAGTCATTGTGATATGCAAGCCCGCTTATTATACAACGGCAGAGTATGATACGATAACGTCTTACACTCTACACTTGACCAGTTTATAGAGAATAAAAGGAACATACCAATTTCACTAATTGGAATGTCAATGTCACGAAAATCATCTGCATACGGTAAGAATATAATATGAAATCCAGGTGGCATAGTTTGCAGTTTATCATCATTCATCTGTTCCGCCTAAATAAAAGAAATGAAGGGAAAACTTAGTATGACCACTAAATATAACTAGTGAACAACAAATAGTTTTAGATAAGGAAAGCGTAACTAGGCGCATAAATCATAGAAACTAAAATATGATAAAACATTACCCAATCATTAAACAAAATACTCTTTAGAAGATTAAAATAACACTAATTCTATATAGAAGTAGTATTCATCATGGACTGACATCAGTTGGGGAACCATTGAAAATCTGGGAGCACTGGACAGCTGCTTCGTCCAACTAGTATGGGATGTCCCCTAGCCGCGTCCTGGGTGTGTACTGCTGAGGAGTCCAGGTGCCCTAATAAAGCAAGTCAACACCACTAAAGTCGAAAACATATATGAAAATACCCATCAACACGTTTATAAAGAAAAAGAACAGGAAAAGAGACAGCGGGAATCACTGGCATAAAAAGATTACCACTAGAGTGGCAAATATCTACAAGTACGCGGACGGTTACACCAGATGGAAAGCGACAAAAATCGGCAAAGCCTTCAATTACAAATCCTAAAATAAGCACTCACAATAAAACATAGGAACGCCAAACAATCATAGAGCTCAAAGAGCAGGGAGAACTGCAGCCACGTCATGGGTTACACATCAGAAACGTACTACAAAACCGTAACCAGCTTTGCAACTCTGGTGTTTTCTTCCACATGAGGAATGGTGCCCCGGTTAGAAAAGCTCGGCCCCAAAAATACCACACTCCCCTCTACCACACGGCATACCCAGCCTGGTGATATGGATTCATAGTTGGATTCAAAACTAACAAACATAACTCTCAAATCTCCAAAAAGACTGTGTGTGACCAACCTCAAACAAATTTCCATTAGGTTATGCTGTCATGCACTAACCCTCCTTTCCCAGGTACCTCAAGAATAAGTAGTCTTCCTTGGTGTGAGGAGTTGGAAAGTATTAACCACTCGCACGCTTCCAGTAGTATAGTCTGTCTGACGCCAAATCAGACGATATCTCTCCGACCCCGACTGCTCATCTCAGATCATTGCATTATACGTGTTTTGCCCAAATATATGGTCTAGCTGAAGATAGCAAGGCATATAGAAGGAAAGAAAAGGACCAGAGGAAAAATTTTGCCTCGGAGAACACCATCTTCATTAGGTATTGAGGTGTAGCTCTTTCGCCTATGAACAGTATATTGTTTCCTTACCGTGAAACAGGAATACAGCCAGCTGACTATCTAGGACTCAATATGTATCCAGGCTAGCTTGGGACAGAAACACATGTTGAAGTATAGTCTAAAAAGGCGCACCTGACATACTTGGCATTTCTATAGAGATTATATACAACGTTGTGATATAAGACAGTGGTGGCATCCAGAGTGTTGCTTTTGAGGATGTATGGAAATTGATTAGTATTTCAAATAACCTTCAATGAAGAAGGGTTCAAGGCACAAGTATTATCAGCTTCTCCATCATTTTCAAGAACGGAGAACTAATTGTAATCGGATGGAATTAAAAACAGGCAACAGCAGTCAATGACTTATCTACAGAGACCATCTTAATATCTTTCCAGACAGCTGGTAAGGTATTTTCTAAAATCGATTTCTTAAACATGTTATATAATATAATAATATAATATAATATATCATCACATTTCGTGAATATGAAACTTGATATACCATCCGGATCCAAAATATGTGAAGGGATCAGGGATTCGACATACTTGAAAACATCTTTCTCGGTGAATTTAGGACATAGTTCTCATTGAAATAATGGGCGGACAGAGTGGATTAGGACAGTCGAATGACGTATAAACGATTTGTCTAAAGCACAGACATCAACACATGCTTATTTACTAGAATGTTTGTTACCAGTGAGGTCTTTAAAAAGTTTCCAAATGCTAGAAGAGCCTTTGCATGACAAAAGTTTCTGGTTATATAGTAGATTCAGACATTTAGTTCCTAAGCTAATTAAAACGTTCAATCGACGAGCACCAACGTTATCACTTACTTTATCTAGTCTTTCTTTTTCTCTCCTTAGTTTCTTAAGCTGGGGAGAAGATCTACAATCGGAGCGTGAAAAAAGCTTTTCACTGGGGTAACATATATCTAGACAGAACTTGAGATAGCATGTCACACCGTCAATAGTATCGTTCAAAACATCGCTGTAAAACATATTTCAGTCTGTACATTGTAGCATTTCTCTTAGATTAAGTATGTTACTAAGTGAATAGTTTCTGTGTACAATCTTCCTATATGTGAAAGCTGTTTTGTGTAGTTTGCCATATATTTTGGGCAAAACACGTATAATACAATGATTCGAGCTGAGCAGTCAGGGTCTCTTTCGAGTTTCGCATATATCAGTATCACTGACGAATACCAAGTCTAATGTTGCCTCCTGACGTGTTGTGAAGTTAACACGGTTTCAATGACCAAGAGTTTTGAGAAAGCTTTGGTCACAAGAATTGAAATCACCACATACTATCGATAAAGAACCAAAGAGTATAGGGGCTGCGAATTCCGCTAGTAAACCAATAAGAGAAACCAGATAATTTGGAATAACTACAACCAGGTGTCACATAAATACATATGGTATTTGTCCAGATACTTTAGATGGCATTTTAAAATGACGCAGTCTATGTAATCAATTGAAAATTTGAAGCAAATGTAACTCGAAATGCACCAATGTGTCTTGACAAAAGTAGCTATATCACCTCCACATTTTTCTAGTAGAGAGAGCCACATCGATCCTGAGGAGGAATTTTGAAACCATTAAAAGAAACCAAACTACCCTCATAGAGATCATGCAACCAAGTTTCTTGCAATGTAATTACTCCAGCATGCAGTACACCCTTTGGATGATAAAAGAGACAGTAAGTAATTCACTTTTCTCTGGGAGGAACGGTGGTTTGTGCCTAGAACTTCGGGTAAAGTCATTTCAGATAACGTTACTCGCTTCAAAGCACGTTACCATCCCTCGTGATGCTTTTTCTTCGTCTTATTTGATGAAAATACCACAATAGGTTGTAATCTATTTAAAAATCTGTGTGGATAAATAGTGCTATCCGAGGATATAATAAAAGGATTCAGACAAACAAGAGCGTAGAAAAATTTGGTGGGATATATGAGATGGAGAATTCAGTAGCCCGGATATTTGAGCACGCTGCTGGTGAAGTCTCAACAGAAAATTTTGAAGATGGTCGTGGTTGATAGGCATCAGTCAGGTGTCGCATGGGTTCTGTGTTCACATAAATCCTTCCCAAGTACCCTAAAGAAACAACTTTCACGGTGTGGACGGCTGAGGAGTATCAACAACCCACACACTTTCAGTATTATACGAAACTCAATCAAGCATAACTCACTCTCCTTAGCTTCACTTCCTCATGCCAGTACTAATCCGCTTCAACTTCCATAGTCTTTCGTCCTGCGACCATTGTCAACAATCCAAATCAGAGGAACACCATCCTTAGTATCCTGAAACCACACTGTCGATTTGGATATCCAACCTTCGAACTCGATACCGTATCGGACCGCAGGCATCTCTTACAAAACTCTAAAATCTCGACCCGTGGATATATGCTATGTTTAAGAGACACGTATACAGGACCCGAGTGTGGTTATTAACTTGAACTCACCTGGCCATTGCGGTGAATCTTCAAAATTCACTTGACGGGTATCTGGAGATTAAGTGTCTAGCTCTTCGTGAACTGGGTGATGTAACGATAGTGTTAAGTTCTCATGTGGAATGTGCACTCCTCGTCTGGATGCCACCTGTGTTTTTACTCAAGTAAGTGGATCTGTAGGAACTAGGAAGGATCGTGAGATGAGTGAACGCCTATTCATAATCTCTGCCTATGCACCCACCAACTGCAGTCCAGATGACGCTAAGTATGAATTTTATCAGAAGCTGCCAATTTTACTACAGATACAGTCGTAGTAGGAGGTGACTTAAACGATTAGGTAGGAAAGCTGAGCCAATTAAACGGGCATCTTGGAAGTAACTACGGAATTACGTGCTTACGAACTGAAAACGATGATCGTCTGTTGCAATTCTGTTCTGATAATCACTTGCTTCTGACGACGACTGACTTGGAGCATGAGGAGAAATACTGTCTGATTTGGAGTCAGACAGACTATACTACTGGAAGCGTGCGAGTGGTTAATACTTTCCAACTCCTCACACCAAGGAAGACTACTTATTCTTGAGGTACCTGGGAAAGGAGGGTTAGTGCATGACAGCATAACCTAATGGAAATTTGTTTGAGGTTGGTCACACACAGTCTTTTTGGAGATTTGAGAGTTATGTTTGTTAGTTTTGAATCCAACTATGAATCCATATCACCAGGCTGGGTATGCCGTGTGGTAGAGGGGAGTGTGGTATTTTTGGGGCCGAGCTTTTCTAACCGGGGCACCATTCCTCATGTGGAAGAAAACACCAGAGTTGCAAAGCTGGTTATGCTTTGGAAGCACCAACCTGGTGTCACATCCCTTGTCGGGTAGCAATATGACATGGTTCTGCAACCGCCACTGTAGAGTAGTAGTTAGCATTTCAAGCGTAAGTACTTTTGATCTTAGCGCTATCTAACTGGCATTTCCAATTTTCTACGATGAATATTGATCAACTGTTTCACTAATATAGCCTTTTAGGTCGTTGGGATATGCAAGGTGGAGCACCGCGTTAAAATAGCAGCTTTTGTTTCACCCTTATGGAAGATAGATAACTTTTTGTAAGTTATTTCAACTTGTACCTAGCTCATTAGTTAAGGCATACTGGAAAAGTATCTTATATATCTTGTACTAATATTTAAATGTATTCCACAATGTATAAACGTTTCTTTTACATTATTTTCTGTTGTCCAGAACTTTGAAAGATGATAACGTGATTTTACACTGAAATAGTGATCATACAACAGGAAAACTTTAGTAATACATGTAGATAATTACAAAATTGCACCTATTCACTGGATGTATTCAACTTTGGTGTGAGCTACAAAATTTGTATTTGCTAAGTTAACT